TTTTTTGGTTGCAGACCTGTGTGATTTGTACCTGAGGTCAGTTTCTGGATTTAATGATGGTGTTAGTTTCAGCTGCAACTGGACAATAAAATAATTTAAATCTGCTTTGAGGAAGTTTTATTATACTGAACACTAACTGTGTGGCTGGAGGATGTACTGCTTCTCTACCTTGCAGTGTGATATCAAAATTTGTCCAGTAGACCCTTTGCACGAGAAAATGCTAACTTTTAAGACCGGATGTAGGGTTGTACATTTCCGGTAGCTTTATTTTGCAGTCAATTGCTACTGCGAAGGTGGACTCCTAAATCATGTCCAAAATCCAAAAACGGAACGATTACATTAAGTTTACAAAGAGCAGAGAGTGGGAACACTCACCATTGCTGTGTCATAAAAAAATCAAATGATCAGTTTTGATGTTTGAAGCGTGTAGATCGATTGTTTGCACTCAGTACAAGCAGAACTGCATCACTGCAGCAGAAGACACATCGTCCACATTCAGAAGCACATCTCTGTATAGTGCTTATGATTTAAACAGGCAAATGTCCAGCATTCAAACTACAGGTGAACAATAGTCAAAGCCAAATGTTTCCTCGTTATGTCGATATCAGTACACACCTACACGGCATGTCAACAAACCGTGAAAAAAAGCCACAGGATATTAAAAAATACATGAATGATTGCAGGTAAGGGTCTCTATATATTAGTATTCACAAAGGGTATGTTGTGACTTATCTTCACAATTACAGCGATCCCTCGCTATAACACAGTTCACCTTTTGCAGCCTCGCTGTTTCACGGATTCTTTTAGTGCAATTTTGCATGCTTTTTTTTTTTTAAGCGCAGTGTGTTCTGCGTCCTGATCCGCAGACCACTGTCGATCTCCGTGCCGTGCTCTCCTGTACAGTACAGAATCGCTATATCGATCACTCGCAGTGTGACTCTGAAGTGCTGCACTGTATGTTTGTAAGTTTTCTCCCCAACAAACACAACAATGTCAATGAAATGTTTTGCACCGTCAAAGGCACCTGCAGTAGCATCCGAAGGGCAGAAGAAGATGCTAACCATCGCACAAAAAGTTGGACTTCTGGACGGAAGCTAGAAGTTACCGTATTTTTGTTTTTTTTTTACCATACCGCTAACTGGATTATAAAGTGCATTAAACTTAAATTAAGCAATTAAGCTTAAAGTTAAATTCATTAGTTCTAAAATCTGTCATTATTATTTATAGCAAAACAAATACACTGTATGTTTATTTCTCAAATAAATGTTTGGGACTGAAGGCAGGTTTTGATCTTTGGTTTCATTCTATAATGGATTTATTTTTTATTTTTTTACAAAGGTTTGAACTTTGAGAGTTTAAACAAGAGAGAAAAGTGTGAAACTGTTTATTCCTGTCTGAGAAAAGTGTATAAAGTGTGTAGTGATGGGGTTTACTTCGCAGATTTCACCTATCGCTGATTATTTTTAGAACATAACACCCACGATAAACGAGGGATCACTGTATACAAATACTGACTTTTGCTCGGAGGCGCGAGGGAAAATATTGACAAGTCGATGAACATCATCTACACATATACTCAGTAAATGCCCAAGACATCTTGAGAAATGTAAATCGCCGCTTGATTCATCGATTTGGTTGACTTTTTGGGAAAACCCGACCGTAAACAAGACAACAATATCACACCGGAAACTACGCGCCCTGCAGGAGTTTCCCCACCGGAAGTAGCACATGCTAAGGTGCACATAGTCTAATAAGGTTCTTCTGCACTGACGTCATCTTTGAGTTCATATATTACTGTTGTCAGACCCCCTCTATTCCCTCAGTCTCCCCTGAAAAATCACACACTCAGCCTTCGTGGGATTGTATACTTTTTCTTGTAGCCTGAAATAAGCTGTTTTGGGGCCTTCCCTTTTAAGGCCACTTCCAACCTCTTTGCTCTGATTGGCTGCCCCTCGTAAACAGAATGTTGGAACAGGAGGTGGGTGGGGCTTCTGTGCTCACATGCAGAGCTGCGGTGACCAAATATAACATTAGAAGATGAATTAATGAATAAGTTTAAAATATATATATATAACACCTGTTTGAAGGAAACAGAATGACTGAATTCAAACAGCATGTTGTGACAAAACAATAACCTGAAACTCACAATGCT